AACATACCCAGCTCTCTAAGTTGCTCCTCATAGGGCATGGTTTCCAGAACTTTCAGCATTTTAGTCACCCTCCTTTGGACTCATTCCAGCTTGTCAACATCCTTTTTGAACCGTAGTGCCCAGAACTGGACACAGTATCCCAGGTGAGGCCTGACCAAGGCACTGTTACTTCTCTTGATCTAGACACTATACGTCTATTGATGCAGTCTAGATTTTTGTCTGCCAGATCACACTGTTGACTCATGTTCAACTTGTAGTCTACTCAAACGTTTAGATCCTTTTCACATGTAGTCTCGTTAAGCCAGGTCTCGTTAAGCCATCCTATACCTATGCATTTCATTTAATTTTTTTGCCCTTACATTTCTCCATATTGAAATTCATTTTGTTAGCTTTGGCCCAGCTCTGTAATTTATTTAGGTCATTTTGAATTTTGATTCTGTCCTCTGGGGTATTAGCTATTCTTCCTAATTTGGTGTCATTTTCAAATTTGATGAGCATGCCCCCTGTTCTTTCATCCAAGTCACTGATAAAGATGTTGAATAGCACTGGGTCCAGGACAGAACCTTGTGGCATCCCACTAGTCACTACTTTCCAGGAGGAAGAGCTACTGTTATCACATGAACTCACATGAGCTTTTCAGTCTGTTGTCTGGGTTGTTGATGGACAAATGTAAAACCCTGTCATGCTCTCCTGTATTATGGTTCTTTGGGCTAAATCCAGTCTAGTCCTAATCAAAGTAAACCCATTGAATCAATGAAGCTTATATAACTATTGACTCACCAAGTTCCAATTGATTTAAAGGTTTTACTTTTTTGGATTTAGCCATTTATATTTAAAGAGGACTTCCTTCAACAGGGGGCACCTTCAAATAGAGGACTGTGTTCTGCAAAATAGCACATATACATAAACATTACACATTGCTGATCCCAGCCATTCTGTCCATTGATCAAAGAAGGCTTACATGGCTCCACTCCTTCATGCTTTTGAGATTTTAGTAGACAGACTTTCCAGTCTAGAGGCCCAGACTGGGAATCAACATGTACAGATTAATGGTTTTCCATCTTCGATTATGAACATTTACAGATTAATGGTTCTTCTTCTTCGACTAAAATAAATGGGGCAACCCAATCTACAGGAACACAGTTGGGAGCTTAGATATCTGTATGTCTAAACTCCCTGCCCTCACCTCCAAAAAACACAACTGCTTTGTGGTGGTGAACTACCTTGCATTACAAAGCTTCTCTTGCAACCAGGGAAAGCAAGTTTTACAATAGTAGCAGTGCAAGAGGAGAGCCTTCTGGTTTTATTTAACCCCCCTCCCTTAACAGACAGCTGGAGTATCTGCTGATTATATCCATTCAGAGTTCAGGATCTTGGAGTGTTAGCCATTAGCATCAATGAACTTACACAATAGCTCAGCCCAGATCAGAGATCTCGGAATATTTGAATCTGACCATCATCTCAGAAGTGTAGGCATAATGGGAAGCTAAATGCTCCCTCTTCAACCCTAGAAGCTTGCACCAGGTGTTTCATATGGGCTATCATGTGTGTGTGTGTGTGTGTGTGTGTTATCTCTGAAAGAGAAGTGAATGCACATTTCATAAGTTAAGTTCATGAAGCCATATAATAGCAGACCTGAAGTCAGAGTGCCTATAAAACATTTTATGACATAGAGGCTGAGGAGGAATTTCTGTAACAATTACCGGATGTGGTGGGAATTTAAGCTGGCCATAGAACTGAGAGGATGATATGAAACTCCTCTTTTTTCTTTTCTTTTCTTTTCTCTTTTTTTCTTTTATTGAGGAAGGAAATCCTACCTTGTAGAATGCCATTTTTAAAAGAAAAGGAAGAACAATTTTCTGCTGAATTGCTAGGCAATACAGGTCATCCTTTTGACTATTAAACCCTTGTACCGGTTGTCCTTCCATTATCATCTAGATGGGCTCCTGGTATTTTCAACAGCCATTTCAGTCTTTCTCACAATGGTGCCAGAGCTGCCAGTTAAGGGGCTGGCTAATCATGTAGAAGCAAACTTGTAAAGGTCAGACAAATCATGGGAATGCTGGCTAAGAGTCTGCCTACTTTTTGACACAGTATCTGGAAGGAAATATGATATACTTCCATGAATGCACATCTATTAAATGTCTGGGAACCTTTTTTGATGGCTGCAGTTTGTTGGCACTTAAATAAAAACTTGGGGAGGAAAGAAATACTAGTGTTGGAACAGGTTGGTCAAGCTCACAATTTAGCATATTAGAGAATAGAATTTTTGCACAGCTAACACATGAACAAACAATTTCTTTGGGCACATTCACTGTTGCTGTTTTCATATTTTAACCTCATATTTCCTTCAAGGAAAGGTGAATCTCTACAAGTGATAAACCTCTGAAAAGACAAGGTCCAGCTCTGGGTGAACTCCTATTCAATTTGGAGCAGGTGGAAAAGTTGTTGTTAGCTGCCCTTGTATCTGCATTGACTTATGGTGATCCTGTGGATGAGACATTTCCAAGAGCCCCAGTCCTCAACTGCTTTGCTCAGGTTCTGCAGGATTAGGGCTAGGGATTCCTTGATCAAGTCAAACCGTTTGGTCTTCCTCTCTTTCTATTGCCCTCTAGCATCATTGTCTTTCCTAGCATCATTGTCTTTTCCAGTGATTCATGCCTTCCCATGATGTGCGATCTATCTGTTCAACTTGTATGCAGAACATATTATAAGAAAAGCAGGCTTGGACACAGAAGGAGGAGGAGTGAAAATAGGAGGAAGGAATATCAACAATCCAAGAAATGCAGATGACACCATAATACTAGCAGAAAACCTCACAGTCCTGGAACACCTACTAAGGAAGATAAAAGAAGAAAGTGCTAAGGCACTTAATTTTGAACATAAAGAAAACAAAAATAATGACCATCAAGGACCTTCACAAATTCAACCTAGGAGTTATCACACAGGGGAAATCCTGTGCAAAAATGGGATTTAAAAGGTGGGGGAAACCCGCAAAAGCAGGCAGATTTTCACACACATTGCTGTTAAAATGGGGTTAACCCGAATGGAAAGTAGTCAAAAACTGCCTTTTTTTTACTTTTGGGATTTTCCGAAAGTAAAAAGAAGCAGTTTCTGACTGCTTTCTGTTTGGGTTAACCCCATTTTAACAGTGATATCGTCTGAAAATCTGCCCACTTTTGTGTTTTTTTTTTTAAAATTTAAAACTCCGTTTCTGCATGGGATTTCCCCCGTGTGATAAACTCCCTAGACAATGAAGAAATAGAAATAGTAAAAGAATTCCCATACCTGGGATCAAACATTGATAGAAATGGGGACTGCAGTCAGGAAATCAGAAGAAGACTAAGAATGGGGAGGGTGGCTATGGAAGAACTAGAAAAGATTCTAAAATGCAAAAATATACAATTCAGCACAAAGTTGGAATCATACAAGTCATTGTACTCCCTGTAACCATGTATGGATGTGAGAGCTGGACAGTTAAGAAAGATGATAGGAAGAAAATCAATTCATTTGAGATAATGTGGTGCTGGAGAGGAGTGCTGAGGATTCCACGGACAGTCAAAAGGACAAACAAATGGGTCCTAGAGAAGATCAAGCCGGAAACCTCCATGGAAACCGAGGGCCTCAGCAGATGGTGCAAAGTGCCATTTTTGAGGCCAGGAAGGGGAGGGGCAGCCTCATGCTGTGCACCCCAACCCCTTCTTGAAAATGTCGTCGGAGCGGCTGGCCCTCCACATGGCCGGCACTCCGACACCACACTTCTGCTGCAGCGTCCACACACACTGCAGCAGAAGAGGCGCCGAAGGTGCGCCGGAGGCTTTTTGCAATGCACCTTTGCCGTCTTTGACATCTCTATTTTAGTGCTCTTTCCTGGGCCTGGGATGCTGCACCTCGGGGCCGAGGAGTGCAGATACCTTGGCCCTGATCCGCAGCTTCCCGGGGCAGCCCCGTGCAGCCCGTCTGCTTTCCCCCAAGATGACCAGACTGAGACTGTCGTACTTCAGACACATCATGAGAAGGGAGGGATAATTGGAAAAAACAATAATGCTGGGAAAGGTGGAGGTAAGTAGGAAGAGAGGAAGGCCACATTCCAGATGGATGGACTCTATTAAGGAGGTCACGGGTATTAAGGGGTTGCAGGAATTAAGCAGAGCAGTGGAGGACAGAGAGTCTTGGAGATATCTCATCCATAGGGTCGCTATGAGTTGAGATCAACTTGAAGGCAGTTAACAACAACATCAACATGATGTGGTCAAAATATGCCAGCCTCAGTTTAGTCATTCTGGCTTCCAGGGAGAGTTTGGACTTGATCTGTTCTAGAACCTGCTTGTTTGTCTTCTTGGTCATCCATGGTATCCTCAGTACTCTTCTCCAGCACCACATCTCAAATGAGTTTATTTTCTTTCTTTTGGCATTATTTGCTGTCTAGCTCTCACATCTGTACAAAGTGATAGGGGAAATGATGGCTTGGGTGAATCTCACTTTCAGAGTTTAGAGTGATGTCTTTACACTTTAAAATCTTATCTAGTTATTTGATTGCTGCCTTTCC